GTATTTAAGTTGAGATTTAAGCTTTAAGAATGGAGAGGAACAGTTACTCCCATACAGTTTTAAGAGTTAAGAATTTTAAGAATGGAAGTACAAACAACTTCCCTCAGTTTGAGTTTTAGTGTTTGAGAAGAAGTGCAAAATTATTAGAAAGTTTAAAACATAAGGGCGTAGACTGACCCCAACTCACTCACCAGGCCTTAGTAAGGGAATAAGCGTGAACCATATCAGTAGCAACTAGCTAGAGGAGAAGTTAGAGAGCAGCGAGTTCGAGAGGAAAAGTTCGAGGGCAGCCAGCTAGAGGAGGGCAGTGCAAGCGTCACGGAGGAGGCCTAGTTAAGATTTTCAGTAGCAGCAACGACAGAGACTACCTAGTTATTTACATTTTATGATTATGAGTATAGACTGGAGATCAGATTGAGATTTTAAAGTTTGAGTTTAATTTGCTCACGTGTTAGGGCTTTGCTTTGAACTACAAGTGTTTGTTTCCATTATTTTATTTATGATAATTTTTCCCGCTGTAATTTAGATTTGAGTATTTTATTTATCAAGTGCATTTTAGTAAAATTAGTACCCGGCCGTGTTAGGGTGTTTCAAGAATGATGCTCCTTTCATCTTCATGAATGAGTGTTTGCGGTGTTTGAGTTGTTGAAAGAAAAGCTCAATATGGTGACTTGATGTGACCACCTCTTGTAAAATGATGATGATGGTGGTATGGCAAACTGGGATGAATTTGGTTTGGTTCAACCTACCAAGCAAGGCATGACGTTCTTCAGTTGGTTGGCTAAGTTTTTGGCTAAAATCTTATAGCCAAAGTTGCATTGGTCAATGGGCCTAAATTGACTGAGAGTTGTGGGATTGTCCAGTTTAGGGACAAAGAAAATCAACATTGAGTTGCAACTATGAATCCTTTATGGTTCTATGTAGCACGCCATTAGATAGTTGTTGAAATCCCTTCCAACTGTTTCCAACACCTCTAGTAGAAGAGTGCATGGAAACCATCCTTCCCAAGTGTCTTTAGGCTACTCATTTGGTTGATAATTTGCTTAATATCCTCCATAGAAGGTTTAGTTATCAACTTCCCAATAATATCCTCTTCATTCAAGCAAGGGAAGTCCGCTCGGATAGAGTACTCATGCTTCACCGCGGGCGTCAGAAGCGGTGAACGCCTAACCTATGCCAAAACTTCGAACGAAGGTAACTTAGTGCTCGGTAATCCGATCATAACGAAATTGTTTTTGATTCCGCATAGTTTTTCGAGATCTTTCAAGTCGCAAACATCCAAAGGCAATATTGGTCCAGCTTTTATCCCGAAAAAATGTCGTTTGCTATCCCAAACGAGCAATTTTTAGATTTCGTCAAACTTTGGACCGCCATAATTTTGTGCTCCGCAACCCGAACATTATAATTTTTTTCGTTTTGCATAAATTTTTAAGTGCTGCAAATTTTATCATGGACATATTTCTAAATGTATGTGGATTTGTGAAAAGTAAAGCTAAAGTTATTCCCAAAACCCCTTATATCCAAAAATATTCATATTTTAAAAAAATCATTTCTAGTAAAAGTTGTAGTCCGTGAAAATTTAGGTGAAATAAAAAAAGTTTGTGACGTTTGGGTTGCTGAGGACAAAGTTACGGCCGTCCAAAGTTTGGTGAAATCTAAAAATGGCTCTTTTGGGAATTGGGATAGCAAACGACGTTTTTTTTTTCTCCAGAACGAAGGCTGGACCAAAACACCTCTTGTTGTTTGCAACTTGTAACATCTCAAAAAATTATGCGAAAAAAAATTGCTACAATCGGGTAACCAAACGCAAAGTTACGTTTGTTTGAAGTTTGTCATAGGTAGGCTCTCACTGCTTTCGACGGTCGTGGTGAAGCATTCACCACTTTTGTCGGACGCAGTTATATTATTCACTGCGTTTGACGGCTTTGTTGAAGTCCAAACATGTGACGATAACGGGAATCCCCATTCATATGAACAAAGTAAAGCCTCAATATCTGTTGGCTTTTTTGTCCACCTTTTCACATCAAATGGAGTAGATTCACTTATTATGGTGACTAACCTAGGTCTTGTCAGTAAAGTGGATTCCTTCATGAACTCCTCCTTAACAACCCTGGTTTCTCGAGAGGAAATTAAGAGAGTTACTTTCACTATTGGAGCTTATCAGGCTCCGGGTATAGATGGCTTCACTGGAATTTTTTACCAGACCTATTGGGAGGCTATTAGTAACTCGCTATGTGAGGCCATCCAAGCTTTCTTCCACTCAGGAAGACTCCTCCATAATTTCAATTACACTCTAATTACCCTGATTCCCAAAGTTCCCAAATGCCGTATACATGAGACAAATGCAACCTATAGGACTATGTCAAGTTTTCTACAAAATTATTGCAAAAATCATGGGGGACAGACTAAGCCATATATTACCATTCATAGTGGGTCCTAATCAAAATGGTTTTGTAAAGGGTAGATCTATTGTTGAAAATATCTTGATTTGTGAAGAAGTAATGCAATTCCTTAACACGAAAGACTATGGAAAAGAAAAATGGATGGCGCTAAAACTTGACATGGAGAAAGCCTATGATCGTGTAGAATGAGAATTTCTAATTAATGTAATGAAAGTATTGGGATTCCATGATCAATGGATTAAATGGATCCGCTCTTGTATCACTACTGTCTCCTTCTCGATAATCTTGAATGGCTCAACCCACGGGTTTTTTCAAACCTCAGAGGGGACTACATCAACGGTGTCCTCTCTCTCCATTATTATTTGCCATCTACACAGAGGCCTTTTCGCTATGATCCAAGCCGCTATCTCAAACTATTCTCTCCATGGGCTCCGCGTTTGTAGGGAGGCTCCCATGACCTCTCACCACAAGAGGCTACAAAATTAGCAAATTCTCTAGGAGTCGCCAAAATAAAGACCCATGATCGATATCTAGGTCTTCCATCAAGAATCCATCAATCTAAAGTCCTTACCTTTCGGTATATTGAGGACTCTTTAGCGGCTCGGATCCAGAAATGGAAATCTAAACATATGTCATTGGTAGCCAAAGAAGTGGTGATAAAATCGATAGGAACAGCCACACCAATCTATGACATGTCATGTTTCCGCATCCCTTCTACCCAATGCCGAAGACTTAATAGTCAATTGGCCCGATTTTGGTGAGCTAACCAAGACAAAGACAAAGGAATGCATTGGCTTTCATGGCGTGAAGTATGTAATAGTAAATTTGAGAGAGGTCTGGGATTCAGAGACTTGGATCGATTTAACATAGCCATGTTAGCTAAACAAGCCTGGAAACTACTAATAGATTCTGATAATACTTTGGCAAAAATATATAAAGCCCGGTATCACCTTAATGACCATTTCCTAAATGCGAGAGCAGGATCCCGTCCTTCTTGGGCTTGGCAAGGTATTCTTGAAGGGAAGAACCTCCATAAAAAGGGCTTGCGATGGCAAGTGGGATCAGGGTCCTCAATATACATTCTACAGGATCCGTGGATACCTTCAGATCCACCCTCCTACCCAATCTTGAAGACAGGTATGACCTTAGAAGGTCCAGTAGTATCCTACCTTATCGATCCAATAAAGTTTACTTGGAACTCTAACAAGATTCGATCTTTATTCTACCCAGTTTCTGCCGAACTAATTTTGTCCATACCTCTACTCTCATATCCGAGGGAAGATAAACTCATCTGACACTATGATAAATCTGGTCAATATACAGTGAAATCGGGGTACCACCTTTTAACAAATGAAATTAACTCATTTCATAATAGTATACCAGACTACTTGGACACAAAATTTTGTAAATCATTATGGAGTATACCAGTGCCACCAAAACTGAAATTCCTTTGGAGGATAGTTCGGGGGTTCCTTCCTGTTCGCAGAATACTGCAAATTCAAAAATTGACTACTTCTAGCAAGTGTCCAGTGTGTTGTGAGCCAACCGAGGACATTAATCATTGCTTTTTTGAATGTAGGATTGCAAAAGAGTTATGGATTATGGTTGGATTGGAGCATCGTAGAAACTCAATGCGCTCCTTCCAACCAGATCTGGCATGGAAAAATCTATTATGCGCTACTCACATCTCCAAGATCGAGATTGCCGATACGGTGTTCCTATTCTGGCAAATTTGGAAAGGAAGATGCAAAGCTACTTATGCTTTAGTATTTCTTCAAGCTCGAGTTTTGTTCCGACAACTAACAGCGCATGTATAGGAATGGCGAACGACGGAGGGACAGAAAGCTCGGCAACCCACAGGTGTTCAGAGATCATCGGCAAACCCTAACAATCAAATAAGATCTCGAAGGAGTCATCCAGATGCCATATGCCCTAATAACAGTATCCTTGTGAGATTTGACGGAGCCATGAAGAAAACCCAAGGAGGCTCAATCGGATTTGCGGGATTCTCGAGAGACTGTACGTTATCCTTTACTTTTGGTAAATATTATGAAGGAATTTCGGAGGCTTACATTTCCGAGCTTCTAGCTCTTAGAGACGTTATGAGATGGTGCTTAACACATAATATTTTGGTGGTTGCATTTTGTGGAGATGCCCAACTGGTTATCAAGCACGCTATGGCAAAGAACGCTTCTCACTCTCGAGCAGGGGCTGTCTTGGAGGAAGTTCACTCCTTGTTCTCGTTTTTTGAGTCAGTGTCGTGTCTTTTTGCTCCTCGGAGCTTTAACAGAGCTGCCCATGTAGTGGCTAATCAGGCTCTTTCATCGGGAATCCACTTGTTTACGGATTACCGTCCTTTTTTGGAATCTACTTGTATCTAAGTCGAATCTTTGTCCCATGTCCTCTGGGTTTGAAAAAAAAACTTGTGTATTTTGAGAATGTTTTCTTTGAGAAAAATTCTAAGGACTCAAGCCCAACAAGGCGGGGGCCAGGGCTGACCTCGAAGCTCCAGCCTCCAAGGATTTATACTGGGGTTATTTCTTCCTGCAGTTCCTATTAAGACGCCGTCTGGTCGGCAGCCAGAATCGCCTTCCAGTTATGCAACAGCTGAAATCAGCGCTGGTTCCAATCCTCTCCACCTTTCCCACCAAGCCCAGGACTGTGCAAGCGCTCCCATCTACGGCGACATTCGTTACAAGCTCATCCACACAATCCCCACCACCTGTTTGCGAAAATGCATCACTCAACCCACCCGCAGCCACCACCACCACCAGTGCCCTCCCTCGTCACCTCTGTCCTCCAGCTTCAGCATACATCCACCTCCCATTCTGCCGCAAACGCTGCCACTACTGCGACTTCCCAATCGTCGCTCTCGGCTCCGCGAACCCTACGGATGCCGACCCGCGGATCTCCAACTACGTCGAACTGCTCCGGCAGGAGATAGAGTCGACACGAGCCGGTTTCAACCCCCACCCGCCTCTCGAGACCGTGTTTTTCGGTGGGGGCACGCCTTCTTTGGTTTCGCCCAATCTTGTTTCCTCGATTATAGACACTCTGAGGGCGAAATTTGGAATCACCGACGGGGCAGAGATATCCATGGAGATGGATCCTGGTACTTTCGATAGCGGAAAATTGAAGGAGATGATGGGGCTGGGTGTGAACAGGGTGTCACTGGGAGTCCAGGCGTTTCAGGACGAGTTGCTGAGGTCTTGTGGGAGAGCCCATGGAGTTAAAGAGGTTTATGAGGCGATTGAGATTGTTGGGTCTTGCGGGGTTCAGAACTGGAGTTTGGATCTTATCTCTTCCCTCCCTCACCAAACCCATGAAATGTGGGAGGAAAGCTTGAAGCTTGCTGTAGACGCACGGCCCCATCATGTGTCCGTGTACGATTTGCAGGTCGAGCAAGGCACGAAATTTGGCGTTCTGTAAGTCTTTCTTTATATGCTGGAATTTTCGTGGAGGGACTCGATAAGACTAGGTTAGTTTTCCTTCTTAAGGATTTAAAATTGTCTATTCTGGTGCGTTTTTCTTAAAAACAGGTACACACCAGGGGAATTCCCTCTGCCATCGGAAACCCTGTCGGCTGACTTCTACAGAATGGCTTCGAAGATCCTTGCCGATGCTGGTTATATCCATTACGAAATCAGCAGCTATTCCAAAAAGGGCTACGAGTGTAAGCACAACTCTACATACTGGAAGAACGCGCCATTTTATGGTTTTGGCCTTGGTTCGGCTAGCTTTGTCAATGGATCAAGGTTTTCACGACCGAAGAAGATGAAAGATTATGCAAACTTCGTGCAGAATCTTGACTCTGCCGAGGCAGCTTGGAATAGGAGCGACGACCGTTCTGTTGATGCTGACAAGGACTTGGCTTTGGATGTTGTGATGCTGTCACTTAGAACAGCAAGAGGGTTGGATGTAAGATCTTTCGCAGAAGCATTTGGTGGCTCAATGGTGTCCTCTCTCTGCAAGGTGTATAAACCTCACATTGAGAGCGGGCATGTGGTTTGTTTGGATAAGGAAAGAAGGTCCATGAGTGCTGACGAATTCAGCAAGTTGCTGGTGGCTCGTGGAGATGAGATTTCAGGGAATTTGGCTTTTCTCCGGCTAAGTGATCCAGATGGTTTCCTTCTGTCTAATGAACTGATATCTCTCGCATTTGGTGCCATAGCACCTTAGAAATTATCAGGGGGAACGGAAGCATGACATTGGGTGGCTAGCTAGCTACTGGCGGCTTAGCTTATGTGATCGTTAGTCGTTACAGTTGTCGTTGGACCAAAAAGATATCATTGGGAATACGGGCAATGCTAGTCTTTCTTGAAATATAAAGTTGCAGAGTAAAGGACTAATGCAACCAAATTTCCAATAGTTGACCTATGGCGTTTGGATACTTGGAAGGGAGACGCTTTTTGCATGAATGCAATGCATAACAGGAGTGACAGTTGACGGGAAATTGGAAGCTCCATGGCAACCTGTCCACCATGCGGAATAATGGCCCGACCAAGTGGAAACTGAACTCTGTGCTGATTAAGTTTCTTGCTAGTTGTAACTACCAATTTACATTACACATACACATTGGAACTTGGAAGGAAACTCGACGTATGCTGATAATGTTCTTGCAAGTTATTGTTGGACTGCTTAAACTTTTATTGTCAGTTTTATGCGAGGATTGAAATATCGTACCTGAGAAGTCAGCGGTAGGGTATTTTATGCTAAAACAGTGGTTTAACCATGGCTCAACTATATTATACCGCTAAATACCGCCTACCGGTTTTGCTTCCGGTAGAAGGTTTTTCAGGTCGAACCATCGGTACGATACGGTATTTTAATCCTTGATTTTATGTTGGTTGTACAAGAGCATACATACACATTGGAATTGTATTTTGGATTGCATTATGATGTGGTAGCATCTTTACATGTTTGCATCTAATGCAACTAGCTCGGACCCGGCCAATTGGCCGAAATATTTTCAAGTTTATTATAAAAGGTTTAATTCACCCGCGTAGCCATAACTTTCACGGTTTTGACAAATATAGCCACTTTTTGAATAATACACAGAAGTAGCCACACTTTTCAATCATTGTGGACTAATCTAGCCATTTTCCTTAAATCATTTCACGGTGTCAACGTCTCCGTCAGTTAAGTGGACGTTTTGCTTATATGTCCGCCAAATGGATGACACGTCATCGCCAACCGAATGGAGTTAGCCACGTGGACGCCACATCGAAAAAAAAATTATTATTTTTTATTTAACTCTCTCTCTCCCTCCTTCATTGTCATCGTTTTTATCCCCTTCCTCTCTTATTTTCTAGGGTTCATAGAGCAGAGACTCATTTTCAATCCCTTCTTCCTTCCATCTTCAATCCCTTCTGTCGAGACCTCCTCTCTACCCTAACTCTCTGCCTTCGACGCCTCCTTCTCAGCATACCCATATCGCCTCCCCTTCACTGCCTCTGCTACACCAATCCCTTCCGCTATCTTCAATCCCTTCCGCCATCTTCAATCCAGTCCCCTATTGTTATCCCTTTTTCCATTTTTGCCTAAATACACCAATATCCCAGCCGTTCCTTCATCTCCATTTCCGACAGTTGAATCCATGTCGAATAGGTGTGGAAAGAAGGTGGATTTTAATGTTGCCGATTCCGGATCAGTAAGCACCAATAGTAGGAGTGTCGTTCGATGCAAGCACAACGTCCCATGTGTTCTTAAAACTTCGGGTACTTCTACGAACCCAGGGCGGCAATTCTACGGTTGTCCTTATTGGAAGGTAAGCAATACATTCTTTGTGTGACCCAATTGGTTTTTACCTACACTATCGACAGTCATGCTTATTATCTTGCTGCAGGATAGGGAAAAAAATTGTCGTTTTTTCCGGTGGGTGGAATCAAACGATGATGAAACTGGCTCATGGACTAATGAAATGGGTTCTATTCAGAATCTGGAAGAGAGTCTGATGCTAGCAGAAAGGAAGGTAGAGAAGATGAAGAAGGAAAAATAATTGATGGCCGAAGAACTAAGCAGATTGAAGCTTGCTCATGAGGTTATGGCAATGCGTGTTAGGAGATTGGATGATGATGTCCGTATCATTCGATATCTGTTGATTGGTGCTGTATTTATGAATGCTATTTTGGTTGTTCTTATTTGGAGGCCAGAATCTGGTATGTAGTTGTTGGCATTCTGTGTAAGCTTAAAGCAACATAGTCTTTGTTTTGTTCAGACACATATATTAAGCAAGTCTGCAATGGCTGAACAAGCAGTCAAATGCACATCAAAAAGGTGTTTAATAGAGTACATCATACACCTGCAGCTAACAAGCTGTCTGCAATAGCTAAAAGTGTGCTCATTTGAATAAAATAACTTGCTACCAATATGCTAAGAACTGCTTCCTGAGTCATGTAACCGTCGTTATATAGCAACGTGCACATAAGTGTCTACTATCGACATTACACAAAAGATGACTTAAGTCTAATATATTCTGCCTAAGTCTAAGGCTGACTAGGTGGAGGCTGACTTCCATGCAAGTCCACGACAGTTGGCTGAGGTCCACGAACTGGCCTCCCAGCAGCTCCATTAAGCTGAAATGAGTAACAAACATATTAGTAATCAATTCAAATACATTTAATCGACCTATTACAACTAGAAGACAGGTTGGAAACACACCCTAACATACTGGCCATGCTTGCCTACCATCCAGGCAAGGTATCCCATAGATGTATGCAAAACTAGCCATGTACACATGATAGTATGAATTCACATAATCATCAACTTCCCTTCTTAGATGGCTAATAGCTGAAACCGCGTGGCAGCATGGAATGCCACTAAGTTGCCAGTAACCACAAGAGCAACTACATTCGGTCAGATCCAAGAAGCGAATAAACAAATTGGGGAACTCCACATACAGCCAAAGAGAAGCACGAGAAGTGGAAGCTTTTATAGTAAATGACGATTATAACTAGAGGTTCTATGTGTTTACCGTCTTTTTCAGGGGCAATCTCGTGAAAAAAACTTCTGCTAGTCCCTCGAAGAAGTTGGGAATGTCGCTTTCCACCTTTGAACCTATAAATACACAACACCCACTTCATTCATTCATTCGAACTGTCAAAAGAAGAAAACCAGAGCAGAAAACCAGAGCAGTTCACAAGGACTCACGAATCGCACGATTTAGGGTTTCTCGGCAACTCGAGATTTAGGGTTCCTCCGCCGAGAAGTTCTCTTAGCCGCCGTCAGCCGAACTGCCGAAGTCCGTACCGCCGTCCAAAGAAAGACCGTCCGATGCTACTCGCCGGCCGATTGCATGGCTTCCCTTTGTCGACGATCGCGAACGGTTGGGGTCAGTCGAGAGAAAAGGAGGTCAGTTTTTGGGGAAAAGATGAACGAAAAAGGGGAAAGTGAATTGAATCCTCTTTTCGTCTTCTTTTTGTCGTTTTAATTTTGTATTAAAAATATTGTTTTCCACGTGGCAAAGACGCAAAAGAAAACACGCCACATCAGCCGCGTCCGTTAGTCCAGTCAGCCAGTTAAGTGAACCGTCAAAGAATTGGACGGAAATGGCTACTTCTGTGTATTATTCAAAAAGTGACTATATTTGTCAAAACCGTGAAAGTTATGGCTACGCGGGTGAATTAAACCATTATAAAAAGTCACATCAAATTTTGGTCTTTATTAGGGATTTTCTATTGAATTTTTTTCATAAATTGCAGTCATATACATAATGAAAGTTGTTTAAATTTTCGTGATGAGTTTTGGGTCATGATATCCAATCATCTTTGAAAATTATTTGTACTTGGTTTGCATACTTGATCTTGATTTCTCATCGCTCTTCTTTTATGGATTCTCAATTCTTACATAATAATGGACCGTTACTAAATTGGTTGACATTTTTCATGCATAGATGTTATACAATTAATTTAGAGCCTACATGATCACTCAATGTCCATGTGCACAACTCAATCTCGTTCTATTTCTCCAATTTTTTCTTCTCTTTGCAAGCCTACGACTCTTTGAACTCCTTACGGCCTTACCTGTTCTATACAGACTGTACTGGAGAACAACAAGAATTGGGGAGAAATTGGGTAGTGGACTCATGAAAGCAAATGCATGGCATCATCGTGCAGATGCCATTTCCTCAGTGGTTGCTCTCATCGGGGTTGGTAAGTGTCCTAGACAGGTCTTCTGACCAACTAGGTGGTGTTTTTAAGCTAAACGTTCTCACCATCCCCCATTATCAGCCTCTCCAGTTGTGAAGTCCCTTTTCATAAAATTTCCAGGTCAATCAATAGCTTTTCTGCTTTTCATCAAATTATCTTCTGCCGGTTAAAATTTGGTTGTGGACCTTAGCCTCATTGGTTATTTGATTTCTCAAGTATTTTTTTTTATATTTAGACGTCATAAAAATGAGAAAAAGGAATGTGCATGGCAAGTTTTTAATTTGTGGGTTAGACCGTTAGAGTGAGGAAATATTTGTTGATTTGGATAATTATTAGTGACCAAGGTTGTCAAACCGGTTTATGCCACTGTGCCGGTTTAGCAAGTGGAATGGTTCGACCAGTGGTACATACCGGTTTGTGCCGGTTCATACCGGTTAATATTACAAATAATTTACAAATACTCATATTTAAACACGACATTTAACGTAAATACCTAAATATTTGTACTTGAATCTAACAAATAACATCAACATTTAACTTTTTAACACATAAAACAAATAATAAATGACTTTTTATCAATTAAATTCACTAAGATAAGATCATTTTACTTGGAGATTAGTATATCGATCATGCCGGTCATACCGGGGGTGTCATGCCGGTTTTATGACCGGTACAGGTTCAACCAGGTTCAACCAGTGGCACGCCGGCCGGCGTGACAACCATGTTAGTGACTTAAAATAATCCAAAGATAAGGAAAAAGAATGCAGGATAATGTTGGCTCGAAAGAGTGGTGGAAAAAGTAAAGATAGAAAAATAGTAGGGTACTGGCAGTTCAATCGAAAAAACCTCCTACCGAAGTCTTAATTGATAGGCGGATTTTAGTTGTATGGAATGGTTGACTGACGGTTAAACTATGATCTTAATATAAAATACCTTATCGCTGACATTTTCGGTATGACCTCCAATACGATTTTACAATCCTTCGAAAAAGTGCTTGAGTTTGATGAAACTAAATACAAGCTTAACTTGAAATACTTTCCTAAGTGTAAAGAGGGTAAATGACACAAATATGGTTTTTTTTTTTAAATTTACCACCAATATAGCGGTTTAAAAACTATTGACACATATATTGTGTTTTTTTGTTGGTTAACAGCGACCACGCCCGAGACTCAGGCGCTGGCGCATTTTTGAAATTTTTTCAACAAGTTAATAGCGCCAACGCCCGAGACTCAGGCGCTGGCTTGTTTTAAATTTTTTTAAACAAAAACGCCTGAGTCTCAGGCGTCGTCGCAACCTTCTCTTTTCTTATCTTCTTCTCCGCCACTCACACCACTCTCGCCCAGAACAGAAATAAAGAACAATGCGGCTAGTCGTCCGAACCCCAACCCCACGCCCAAAACTAGTCCGAGAAAGCGGCGTCGCCGAGGAAGGAGCATCCACGCCTCAGTCTCAGGCGACGACGCCGGCTTCAGCCCGAAGGCGCCCGGCCCAGAACGAGCCCCCCGCGCTTTATTCTTCCCAATCCAAATCTAGTTTTTTGGAGAGGGAGATGTCCGACGACGAGGAAGCCCAAAACGCCGGCCCCGTGGGAGGAAGGGGCAGAGGGCGGCGAGGTCAGCGTCGTGGCGGCGGCGACCGCTATAGTGGTGAGCTTTTCGCCGGCGGTAGCCGGGATTCTCGCTGGCGGTGGCCGGAATCTCGCCGCTGGCGACAAGTTTTTTTTATGTTCTAATTAATTTTTTTTTTCAGTTCGTAGGCTTATGGACTCTTGTTCCATGAGACCACCACTTGCGACAATTGATACAGCTCCGGTGGATCCGGTACTTCTTTGGGGGCATGGTCACCATCGTATTGACGCAGTTTGCGCAAACGATGTAAGTTTTGAAACTATTTCTATCGTTTTTTTATTAGCTGAACTCAACTGAAAATAGAATAGAATTAAATTAAATTACGAATTAAATTAAATTATGAATAGAATTAAATTACGAATAGAATTAAATTAGATTACGAATATTAAATTATGAATAGAATTAAATTAAATTAAGAATAGAATTAAAATAAGTTTAGATTAGATATATAAATATAAATATTAGGTGAATTGAATTAATATAAGTTTTGTGCATTATAGGCTGGTGATCGACCTTACCACATTCGTGGTACGAGCAATTTAGTGAGATACCATCCACTTTCCCAGCTGTATCTCGTCGATGCAGGTTTGTCTACGGTTCTGCCATTAGCCCCTCTTACCGGTGATACGGGTTTGGTTACTGCGCTCGTAGAGCGTTGGCAACCCAAGACATCGACCTTCCACATGTCGTTCGGTGAGGTGACGATCACCCTAGAGGACGTTGCGACACTGACCGGTCTAGCAATCGATGGTTATGTGTCTTCAAATGTTAGGACGCGCTCCTACTGATCTTGGCGGCGGCGTCATTAAGATTGCCTGGCTCGGGGAGACTTTCGATGAGCTACCGCTTTCTGCATCACCATAGACTACAGAGCAGTTTGCACGAGTTTATGCTCTGTCTCTGATGGGAGGTGTCTTGTTCCCCGATCGGTCTGGAGGTTCAGTTCATCTGCAGTACCTACTTTTGGTGGATGATTGGCGCAGAGCGGGGAGGTTTGCTTGGGGAGCAGCTGTTCTATCCTACCTGTACCATGAAATGGGTAGATCGGCGCTGCAGATGATGGGTGGTGACTTTGGTGGATGGTCTGCCTTGCCGATGATCTGGACGTGGGAGCGATTTCCTCATATAGCACCACTACATATAGAGACGGGTGCATAGATTACCCAGGACGCAGTGCAACTAGGCCTTCGATGACTTCCGGCCCACACCCGTCAGCATGAAGA